ACCCGCCCCGGAGGAGAAGAAGGGAAGGCCCCCCCCGCCTGTACAAGGACCCCCAAAGAAGCCAAGTTCCCCCGAATGAGGAGGAGGGGGGGGGGGGGCATACCGGCCTGACACGGGAGGGGGCGGACAACAACGGCACGAGCTTCAAGGGGGTGTCCCGGGTAAAGGGAAACTCGAGACCGTAACCAGGCCTCGTTTGGGTACGAGGGCTACACCCTCAACATCGGCCTCTTTGCTACGCCTCAGGAGGCCGCCCTCTGCATCGCCCGCCGGCGCCGCCGCGCAGAGGCGCGCGCGGCGAGCGGCGGCATGCGCGGCGAGAAGGAGTGCCCCATCTGCCTCGAGACGCTCGAGCCCTCGACAGGCGGCCTGGTCAAGACTGCGTGCCCCGGCGGCCACATCTTCCACCGCTCGTGCCTCTACCGCTGCTTCGGCGACGGCTGCACCGCCGATTGCCCCATGTGCCGCCAGCCCATCGCCAAGGGCGACGAGACCCCTCTGCCGCGGCCCGACAAGACGCCGCCCAAGCGGCGCCGGATCTCCGGCTTCAACAACCGCGAGGTGGCCGGGATGGCCGGGCTCGTCCTGTCTCCTGACGCGGCCGAAGCGGGAGGCCCCTTCGGAGGGTGGCCTGTCCAAGCGGTCCCGCTCCACCACCACCTCCGCGGTCGCGGTCCGGCAGGCGGTCGGCGCGCTCCCGCGGCAGAGCTTGCGGGTCTGCATGCGCATGGGCCTGCCGACGGAGCATGCCGTGCGCTAGAGCCGAAGCGAGGGTAGCCGTTGGCGAGGTGGAGCCTCCGCAGCCGACTAGTCGGCGCCTCCCACCTCTCCCTTCGGCTTCGCCCCGCCTCGCAAGGCGCGAGAGCCGAGCGAATCTGTCCTTTTAGATAATAGGACAAAAATCTTTTTAAACCCGCACAAAGCACACACATGCGACATGGGGGGCTATCCGATATCCATAGCGGGGCGACCGATCACAATTGCCCGTCATGGCGGCGAGGCGCCCGCGGGACCGTCTGCGTGGCGAAGTGTGTCGCGTCCTCTGATTTCCTCAACTCTCAACATCCAAACCCTCTAAAGAGGGGGGGGGCGGCCCCACCCAGCCGCCGCGGCAGCGGCTCCGCCCCCCCCATCAGCCGCCCTGGATTCTCTCTCTCTCTCTCTCTCTCTCTCTCTCTCTCTCTCTCTCTCTCTCTCTCTCTCTCTCTCTCTCTCTCTCTCTCTCTCTCACTCTCTCTCTCTCTCTCTCATTCCGTTTTCGGTTGTCCACATTTTTCCTAAAAGAAAGAAAACAGACAAAGCAAG